TCCTGTCATAAATCTAGCAGGAAGGAGGGTAATAGAAAAACTTTTAATCATAGGGAGCGAAACTGACGCACCTCACATCGACGTATTGCCCAAACGGTTTTTTTATGTACAAGGTGGAGTATTTTAATTATATTTGGTTAATTGATTAAGAAATTTATTTAAACCTACACGTTTCGAGATAAATGGAAACATTCCGTTTGGTTACTTCAGCAGAAAGATGTTATACAAAGTTATTTGCAAAATAATGAATTTTTCAACTTTTTTCAACAAAGTACTAACGTCTAGCTTCATTAATTGCCTCCACAAGACAATTAACATAAAATAAATACCAAAAAGTTGACTGTTTTTGCGATTTTCAACTTTTCACTTTGTAACAAAAGCCATATCCGTGTAATTTATGGGGTGATTTTCGGAAAGACTGAAGCTCAATAGTTCTATTAGGCCTTCTAAGAACAACCACGGACAGACGAGAGTCAAGTAGTAAAGGTGTCATATTTGTATTTAGAGGGTGGTCTGAAGAGCGGAGACTAATAAATTTACAAACCGATCACCCCAAAACACTTCGGGTTAAGTAACTCCTTCAAAAAGGTATTACCATGTGACAGTCATCTGTTGCGTCCGGAAGGCGGCAGCCTATGCTGGGACAGAACAAAGACACCGATACATTTAATTTAATTTAATTTTTAATAACGCGCATTCCAAAGAACGTAGGAATTCCAAGAATAAGTTGTTAGAAGTTGTTAGAAAAATAATAATAGATCAAATAGTTGGTTTTTAGTTGGATCTTCCAAGCTATTCGAATAGATTAAATGAGATTGACTAATCCGTATCTTATTGTTACACGGAGTCACTAGAGGAAGGCTAGGGTTACTTATAAGTCCAGTTAGTCACAGAATTATTTATATAAATGTAAATTCAGTCCACTAGATAACTATTAACATGGCATAGTTATGCCAAAACGTCTCGATATTAAGGGTCCCTGCCAGTAAGATAAGAACAGAAACGTCTAGACCCAAAAAATGGGCGTGTCGAAGCGAGGTGTCGAATTCAGGAGAGATCTCCGAAAAAAACAGAAGGAGTTTCGGGTTAATTTAATAATGGATAAAGTCATTCCAGATTTTGATATGGATCGCGCTTTCCCTGAATCTCGGTACGCTGTCGCGTGTCAATAAATTAATTAATAATGTTGTTCGAGCCCGCTATGTCGTTATTTTGTTTGTTTGTTTTGTTTTTATTGTTATTGAAACCCTTCCTGGAAGTTTTGGTGTTTCTTTCTTGTTCTTCTAACTTAAGTGTCACTCTATACAACCAACCACTGGATTACCTTGTACATGAGCGACAGTGTCTGGTATTCATTCTCCGAACGTACAACATTTCTAAGTTCCCAAGTATTAATTAAAGTGTAATGATGATTATAAACTCCCATTCGAGAATTAATTAGTAAACCTTTTTGAAATCCAGACTCGTTATGATACTGGTCAAATGGTAAATAGATAATTAAAGAAATAACCCATCAGGATACAACTTCAATTCCAAAGCTCATCACAGAATATTGTTTTCATATTAAAGGTCACAATAGTGAGATTGTTTCATTGAAGTATAACCCGTTTAACAAGGAATATACTGTTTTCTAATACAATTCATGGACTTCGATCTCAATACACACATATCTGTCGATTTCTTTCTATCAATTTCCTTTTTATTAAAAAATGATTTTTTTATCCTACGTCAGTTTTCATTTCATCAACACACCATGTATACCCTTAATATTCAAAAAGAACATCTTCTCGGGCTTATATAATATTGGAAATGATGGATCTGTCCTTGGAAAGACATGTGCAGAGGAGTGTGCCATGTATCAAAGCAATATACTTCCACATCCATCTTTTATAAACATTTTTTACGACATCAGCCTATTTTTATATCCTTACCTTATTCATGTATCAAATATCAGTCAATACACACGTCAAAGGGTTACATCATCCAGAAAAATATCAAACATTTACGACATATTTTATAGAGAATATAAATAAGAAACGAACTGAGACAAATACACATTCCACCGTCATTCGATAACTTAGAAATAGTGTCCCTTGAGAAATTGGCAACGTTAGAGTGACCAAATACGCTCCCGATGCCTTATCTAACGACCCGAATCAGAAATGCTCTACTGACCACCAACTACTGCAGCTGAAACGGGTCTAATGCTGGATAAAAAACTCCGAATCCGGAAATCTTCGCCAGTATAGGTACCTGGGGGAAATAATAAATTTCGTGGAGTAGTAATTGTTGGATATAGTGACCCGTACTTTTTAGAAACACGACCGTAGTTGGGACGAGTTCACATCTTAAAATTTCATCGTAACAAACAAAAAAGTTGTAGGGTTTCCATTAAATTATGAATCACTATTCTGAATATCCTGTTTAAGTACGTCCCTGTGAACGGCTCTGGAGTGGAAATGAGTCAATTAAGTTTACATTACCATTTGCGTCCTTATCTAAATTATTCTAATGGATTTAGGTTAAACAGCGGTTGTGAAATGCATTCAACTGGTTTATGGAGATAATAGTAAACTAGACAGATGACTTTGCACATACTCTCAACCTCCATAAAGGTATTTCGATTTCATCAAAGTGTTCAACAGACGCACCATCCACTAACGTTACAATTTTTACTTCAATAATTATATAAACTTCGAATTGATACAATTATTGCACCGTTAGTGTTGAAGTTGTAGAAACAATATTCCTCGCAATGCAAAATTGAATGACTGACATTCCGCGAACATCAATTTCATTTTTTTAATCCAAATTATCTTTTTATTTTTGTTTATATTGCATTCACTTGCATTCACATTGCAGTCGCTATCCCAGCTAAAATTATGCACCTTTTGTCTTTACAAAATATTAGAGATTTTATTTGACATAAATCAAAACCTGTACTAACTCAGAAACGATTTGTATGTAAAAATGTAATATTAGTGGGAATTAATAAAAAATTAAACATCGTAGTTATCAAAAAAATTTAAACTTAAAGCAAGTACTTTTTTAAAGACAAGCTATATGTATAGTTGTTCTAAAAATTACTGTCATAATAACAATATTATTGTATACGTCAAGCTAACTTATATCAAAAATTCAGGCAAGTTGGCCAAAATTGTGATTTAATTAGACTATTACCAGTCTCTAAGCCCATCTCATTGATATTGTAGACTTTCTTTTCAGAGAAATAGATATATTTCTAAATTAATAAAAAAGTTATAACAATTTCAATTTTTTAATCGTTAATTGTTGTGATTTAACACTAAAACAATTTTTTTCTATGCCATTCGATTGATTAGGTATTTAAAATAATGAAAAGTTTTGTGAAATTGTTATAACATTTCTATTAAAAATTTAAGAAATATATCTATTTCTCTGAAATTTTTTAGAGTAGATTGAAAAAAAAATTATAAAATTCATTCATTTTTCTACTTTTTCTAATTTTTAAAATTTTTGAAATCATCCCTTATTTCTAGTCTCCAAGAAAAAGTCAATAGACCGTTTTTATGTAGAATTTTATGCTCTATAACTCTTATAAAAAGCTTTTTTCTACCTCTTACCCCTTTTGAGTTATCTTGAAAAACTGATTAATTTTATCTTTTTTAACCCCTGGCAGGGGGTTGAAAAAAAATACTGTCACTTATTTTTGTTATATATCTCAAACCAGCTTATGTATATCATAAATTCAGGCAAGTTGACCAAAATCGCTATTTAATTGGCCTATGAGTAAAACACACTGGTTGAAGAATTTAAAATATTGTTCGGGTTTTAGCATATAATTTTGAGTATCTAATTTTTATCAAATCGATATAATTTTTGTATCATTGCAAAGCTAATAGCTAGATCCTCTACCCTCGTATAAGCAATTTTTGATTTAAGTAAATAAATTGTAAATATGGCGATTTCTTATACAGTTGACTCTTTAAATTTAAACAATAAAAAATTACTTTTGAAAAAACTATTAGGTACACAACAGCCTCAGGAAACAATTTTGTCTTTCGATTGTTTTTTTTATTTGGGCCGCTATGTTTATTCGTTTTCCAAAGCGTGACGGACTCTTAAGATAGACTTATAAAAAGGATAAACATAAATACAGAAATAAAGTTCGGAAAAATTAAGACACATTTAACTTGCAAATATTACAAAATGTCTCTTTTAGAATGCAGATCAAGATTCAGCCACTGTTATTGATTAATGCTGATGTAATTTGATTATACTTTTTACCTCATAACTGAACCTTAAGATTTTTTTTTGTAAACTTTCTTCACATTTATTTTAAATAGCTGGCCAATAAACTATCGAATAGTACCAACTTACATCAAATTCACTCCGATCAGACCACTCCTGCGTCCAGCGGCCCCAGCCCGACATTTGTTACACTCTCAAAGTTTATTAGCCCTATATATACATACACTTTTTCAATGTTAAAATTAATCATCTTGTTCACATCACTGAGAATATAAATATGATCAATATCAATTATTTGCAAATCCCTAGAAATGAGTATTATTTAAAAGTTTCGGAAAAATTTAAAATTCATCATTTGCATTGGTTTATTGATATTTACGTGGCATGTGACCAAACGGTGAATACTTGCAACACCACGACACGAGTAGACAAGTACATTAACAAGCTTTTTTAAATTATATAGCATATAGCCAAAACTACGCTTAGTAATTAGTTGATGTGGTTGTACTCGTATTTACTAAACAGATGGCTAATTGTAAGTTGTCTTGTTGCATTTTAAGTTGCCTCCAAATAAAACTAAATCAAAGACTGACAAGATATTTACTAGGTATTATTAAGCCATCTAATACATTTATTTTTTATTTGGTTTAACGACCTAGAGAAATTCTTAAACAAAAATATTTAAATTTACTTAATTAGAAACGTGTTAGTAAAGGAATGACTTTGTTGCAGGCTGAAATGAGTTCCGCGATGAGACTTTAACAGGAAGCATGCTCCATCGCAGCACGTCGTCGCGACGCCGACGAGCGTCCCGGAGTGCGGCGTCCTCGCCGCAAACCAGGGGTACCCGATCGGCAGCCACAAGCCCGGGACGGCGCGCCAGCATCGCCGTGTCGCCTGTAGACACGGAGAGGGCCACCAGAAATACCCTAATGCCGGACATCAGCAGAAGCCCGAGGCATTCGATAATTCCAGGTAAGCAAAATGAAAGAAACGAACTGTCTCAGGATATCTCTTAATGTACACAACTTCTTGGCAGATGAAATTACTACCTCCAATGAAAAAAACACAATATAAGTTGACTGTATCAAAGATTGATGGCTTCCTGTGGTCCCATTTAGATTATTCGTTTTTTTCAGACATAAATTTCGAATCGCAGAGCCTTCGAGAGCGCGTCTCTCCAGACAACTGCGATTCCAAAAGAAGTCCCCGACCAAGCTTAGTACCAGACTTCGACAGAAGCCCCAGGTCTAGCCTTGTTCCGGACTTCGACAGAAGTCCAAGGAACAGCTTAGTCCCGGATTCCCAGAGAAGTCCGAGGCACAGTTTAGTTCCAAACGAGACTTACTCTAGAAGTCCACGGAATAGCCTGGTGCCTGACTCGGCGCTAAGTCCAAGAAACAGTCTGGTTCCCGACCAGTACAACAGGAGCCCTAGGAACAGTTTGGTACCTGAATCGAACAAGACACCAAGACACAGTCTGACGCCAGATAACGGGGGTTATGGGATCAGGTTGAATATTGTCACAGATTATAATAGGAGTGCGAGGAATAGTTTGGTTCCTGATTGTAACAGGACACCGAGACAGAGCCTGACGCCCTCTGAGTCAACAACTTGGGTTCAAGAAGAAGGTACGTTTTTTTAAATAGTTTTGTCCAGAACTTATAAGCTAATGCAAAAGAATTTCCGAAATTTTTCCGTGATTTTTGACAAATTGTATTTAGGTGAAAAATGGTCGTATCGGGAATTAAAAAAAAACATTTTGAAGCTTTAAGATTCTAGTTTTTAGATCTTTTGGTCGATTTTTTTAGGGGCTACGGTTATCACGCAATTCTAAGAAATAGCGCGACAAAAAAATTTTGGACGGACTTTGAAAAATTTTTTTCAGCTAAGCCATTGCATGTACCAGATAGTTTATTTATTCAACTTAAATTTTCTTTTTTTTTTAATAAATTTCGATACGACCATTTTTCATCGAAATATCATCGAACTTTTAACGGAAAAGGAACCTTTTGTCTTCAATCATCGATATCTCGGCGACAAATGGTCGTACAGAGAATTGAAGGCAGTTTCGAAAACTCGAATAAATTTCCTGTTGCTGCCGCAACTTTTCGGAAAAAAATTTTTTGACGAGCTATTTCTTAAAAGTGCATGATAACCGTAGCTCCTAAAAAATTTCTACCGAAAGATCTAAAAACTAGAATCATAGAGCTTCAAAATGCTTTTTTTTAATTACCGATACGACCAGACCCTTAATTTTTTTACATTAGTTTATATCCCCAAAATTGGGGGCGTAGCTCCCGAAATAAAAGTCGAAATATATCATAATAAAATTTTTCAAAAAATTTTGATTAGGGGCGTATCAGATGCCAACATATGATAGACCTTGATTTCCTCTACAAAAAAGGTACTCTTTATTTCTTTCGATAAAATGCTCCATTTCCAAGAAAAACGGATTTAAGTGCCTAGAAAAGCACACTTTGGAAAGTGTTATAACATATTTAAACCGATTTTGAATAGAAAACTCAGATCTATCAGATCTAAATTTGAAAATAGCAACATGTAAAAAATTTGGGGCAAATTTTACCCGAGACCCCCCCACCCCTCTGCTTGAGACGCTCATAACAAACTTTCCTAAGAACTTTTCACGTTGTTTATTACAATGTATAATGACATGATGACATCAAAATTTATAATGGTACATGTACCCATTTTAGCTATTCAAAAATTTTTTTTTATTTTATTTATATCCGTTTTTCTCGGAAATGGAGCATTTTATCGAAAGAAATAAAGAGTACCTTTTTTGTAGAGGAAATAAAGGTCTATCATATTTTAGCATCTGAATTTGAAAATTTCGACAAATTTTAGCCGACGACCCCCCCCCAAATTGAGACGACCCTGACGAAAATTTTTGAAAAACTTCTATTTCGACTTTTAATGAGCGTTCACGTTGTTTAAATTCATAATGTTCCTTCAAGCCATTTCAGAAATATTTAGAGAAAATAATTTTTTTGAGGCCCCATTTTGGGGGACGTAGCTTCCTTAGGAATCATTTGGCGACCCCTGTTTACATGAAAAAATATTCTTGTATTTGGCAATAGAATCAAGGTGTAAAGTATTGGACACTAATTGGACTACTGTTTTTTATATTTGTAATATACTTATCACTTCCAAATGTTAAAAAAGTTTCGCAATCTAGTTAACATTTGCGTAAATATTAACACACATATGAGGGAGGCTTCGTTGCTCTTGAATATTTCAACATGTTTGGAATTCTTCCCTTGTCTCCTATTTGCTGTTTTAACGATATTTTATTTCTTTAATGTATCCCCCCTCAACGATGTTGGATCTTTCACTGTAATTGCTGTACTAACCAACATTTGCAATTGAAGTAGGTATTCTTTACATTGTATTAATCCCAACAGGCTGATTCGTACATCTTCCATTCTGTGTATAAAAGCATAGACACAGAAACTATTATCTAAGATGATAAAACATCGCCAACAAGATCATATAATGTAATGAAATATACAAATATGCATCATTAACCTGTATATTATTTTTCCAACGAAATTATATTCTAAATAAGTATTTATTAATTTGTAAGACCATTTATAAGAAAAAGCAGTTATTACCTTCAATTAAATATCACCATTGGGAGTTTCCTGCAAAAAATTGTTTGATGTGTTTTATTCTTTTGGTTTGTGGATAATCATGATGGAACAAACTTCCTGTAACGTTAATGAAATATCCTCTGCAGGACATCCTCAGTAATTCCTGTTATAGCTTCTTTCTTCTCCATTTATCAAAGTCGGATAATTCATTTTTGTCTGCAACTTTACTGGGGCTAATTTTAAAGTTGCTTCTTGAGATAAATCAGAGACTATTGAACTGTTTTTCCATTTCCAACAAATTTATTAATCTAACAAGGACTTACACGCATATAAAAATTGAATCGATAAACAATGTACATGCAAGTTGAGCACTTAATTTTTTAAATATATCTACTTTCATTAATCTTTCAGTTTCATGTTGCAATCGGAGTCCTCGTCATAGTATCGGCCCAGAGAGCAACCGTAGTCCGAGAGGCAGCATCGCCCCTGAGAGCCTTAGCGTGCGCACGTCCCCTAGGGGCAGCATCGCTGGGGAATACGTGGCAGACAGGAGCCCCAGGGGTAGCATTGGACCAGAGAACGGCGAAAACAGGAGTCCACGGGGCAGCATCGCCAGGAGCACCCTGACGGCGGATGAATCCGAAAAGAGGAGTCCAAGGGGTAGTTTGACGCTAACGTTTCAGGAGCCCCCCATCAGCGAGAGGAGAGCTAGTGCTGACAATCCAGGTAAGTTATAATTTTGTCTTGATTTGTTTTATTTATTTCGAATAAAATATCCAACGTCTTTTCAAAATTTTCTTCTTCATCTTGAAGTCATTTGCACATAAGAGATTTTTTGTCAAATTTGGTAACAATATCAAAATAGTGGAGAGAAGTGGTCTGAAAATTGAGCCTTGAGGGACTCCTGAAGTCTGAGAAAAATTTTTTGAAAGACCAAATCATCACTCAAACCAACAGTTATCAAATCTATTCAAATTTAGATAATGGAAAAATATTTTCTATAAACCAATACAGACACATTTCAATATAGACTTATTTGAGTTCAGTTAAACGAAAAATGTTTTTATTAAATTCAACCTTAATTCCTGCGAATATGTAATCCAGATACAAAGGCTATGAATCTTGAGATTTTTAATTAAAATTCACTAAAATAGAAGACTATTCCGTCAGTGTCAATATAATCCAAGGCCTGCATCTCCAGGAGTTTGTGATAAAATAAGAAAATGCATTTTCACCGGATATTCGTTGATCTTCAAGCTGACTTTGCCAGCATGCTAGGCTCATAACCGCCGGTATTTGCTTAAAAATGTCAGAGTTTAATCAAGTTAATACGAACTATATCCTGTCGGGAAATGAAATCGGTAGGTCGGGGCGCATCATCGGTTCGTTAGAAGTATTCGTTTTAGATGGAGTCGAACGGAAATGTTTGTTTGTTTAGGTACAAAGCTTGCTAGAAGTAGGGAATAAATTGGATCAAGTTCACTTAGATACTTATGAAAGTCTCGAGGACTTACTCGTTAAAGCTATGAAGCATAAATGACGTAATTATATTGAATCGAGGATCTACGTTTTGTTTTAGAAATAATGGGAAAAGTTAAATTAGAATCATTTCTGATAAGTTGGATAGGGATCGATTGCCGTTTTTGTTGAGGGAGGTTATATGTTCATTTTAACAAATAGGTAGTAGATAATTAAAAGATTAAAAATTATTATTGGATTTTTTTTGTATTTCAAACTTTGAACACGCCATCTAAAAAGTGAAATAAAAGAGCTACAACCCATTAAAGGCTAAATTAAAAGGTTTTTTTATTACATATAAACTAAAAAAACGTTTTTAATTTAAAAGAGATATTTTAAAGCTGTGTTTACTTAAAATTCGATGGTTGGAATTAATATATGATTTATAATGGGTTTATTTTGAACATTTTGTCAAAAGTTGCGCGAGTGAATTATGCTGCTTCGCTCGCACAGTCCCCCCACTTCTCACTCTTTGACTCTCTGCTCGATTCCTGTGAAATGTATAAATCTTTTTTGCATCAGAACAGTTAAAATACATTTTCGATTTAAACAAATTTTCATAGTTATAAAGTCTCTGCTTCATACAATCAAAATCACTTTTGATTGTTATTGTATAGTACGTTGTTTTGCCGTAAACTCACTTCAACGGGGATTGATAGTTGAGACTCCAAAGGGTATGTATAAAAATTGGGAGCTCAAACTAATCATTGGTTTTACCATGAGAGAGAATTGAAAAATAATTATAATTCTGTATTTTCTTAATTAACAATTGAATTGTGCGAAATCTACCCGGCCGATTTCGATGAAATCTTCGGTTTGTTCCGCATAAGTTGACTGACGACCAAAAATTGCTCAGAATTCAAAATTCGAATGATATCATCAAGGAGGTCAACAAGGACAAAACCTTCCTTTACAACATTGTGACTGGTGCTGAAACGTGGTGTTTTCAACATGATCCAGAAGGGGACTATTTTGAATAAAATAAATCGGTTTTGTCAAAAGAACTTTTTGTTGTTCTTATTTTTAAAAGGCCCTGTTTACTTTGGAACGAATCTTGTATATCTGTATGTTTTGTTATACAGGGTGTCCCAATATTCCGTGTACGATATTTCCTGCTGTCAAAATAATCAGATTTAACTAACTAATTTTACTTTTCATAAAAGTAACTATGAAACGTCTTGTAAGATTTTATTGAAATTTGGTACCTATAGTTACACTTTCACTAGATTTCACTAAATAAGTAAATGAAGTAATTGGATAACAGAACTGTGAAATAAACCTCCTCCCTCGAACTAATCTACTCATAATTTTGTCGAGAGTCATGCTAGGCTTCTATTTTTTTTTTGTTTTAAAGGTGAAAGGTTTGTTTAAAATCTTTCCTCCTCTTAAAATTTTTATATTTGTAATAGTTTTAGGTTAAGGGGGTATTTTTCAGTTTTGATAGTCCAACTAGTTCTTTTATTTTATCATAAAGTTATAGTCCACGGGCCCACGTATAAAGAAAAAAATAATTACCAGCAAGCTGTAACTTTGCGTGCAGCTTAAGTTTGACGAGTCTCCCAAGATTTGACTACCAGGAAAATTCAACAGTGGTAAGTTTTCCAGTGATATTCAGGAAAACATGTCAATCTGGCATAAACATGAAATGTTATGACCAGCACTTTTTTAAGTTTTTATGAAAGATATATTTTTTTAAATGCCCCAAAAATTTTGTCCGACAAAAATGTTGGCATTTTGAGTTTGTCATCCACCTCAAATATGTCGATTTGGTGACATTATGGTTAGTGACAACCAGCCAGCTGATTTTTCTGGGAGGGTTTGGTAATAAGTAAGTCATAGAAATCCGTGCGACAGAGAAATATGGCTATAATGAAAGCGTCTAATAGTCACCGCCCATTTCGCCCTTCCACAAATAAGAAGTGGATCTTATTTGTGGCCGATGAACCATGGGGACTTTCCTACCCTGTATATACAATTTTTTGTAATTGTATAAAAAGATGCATTTAAATTAGTCATATTTATTTTGAAATTTGAGAAACTTAACAAAATTTTTTTATTCATATTTTTTTTTATTAAATATCAATTTTTCTTCTACATCATGTGTAAGTATTGAAACCGCAAATTTTACCGTTTAATTTTGTCAGACAAGGAAAAAAACCGATAATTTTGTCGGACAATTAAATTCTCAGATTAATATTGCATTTTTTTAAATAATGACGCTTTTGTCCGACAGCTGGTTATCACCAACCATGTTGTCGTTAAATCGACATCTACGGGGCGTCGGACTGCAAAAACTTCTCAGGAATTTTGTCGGACAATAAGATACTTTCATTTCAAATTTTATTACAAAACCCTCCCAGAAAAATCAGCTTGCTGGTTGTCATCAACCATAATGTCACCAAATCGACATACTTGGGGTGGGGGACAAATGCCAACATTTTTGTCGCAAAAATTTTTCGGAGTTTTTAAAAGAAATATATCTCATTTAAATTTAAAAAAAAACTTCTGGTCATAACATTCCATGTTTATGCCAGATTGACATGTTTTCCTGAAAATCACGGGAAAACTTACCAGTTGAATTTTCCTCGTAGTCAAATCCTGAGAGACTTGTCAAACTAAAGGTGCACGCAAAGTTACAGCTTGCTGGTAATCATTTTTTTCTTTGTATGTGGGCCCTTGGACTATTACATCTATATGGTAGTAGTACCAATTTCAATACAATATTACCAGTTGTTTCAAATTTATTTGAAAAAAACCATTTCATTTTGTCAGCGGCTAAAAAGTTAAATTAAATCTGATTAATTGATCGCAGGAAGCTATGGTAGCTCCGTGTATACGGCATATTGGGACACCCTGTATATTTAATGTGCATTGGGGAAAAGAAAAGTTATAATTTGGGAAGCTAAGTTATTAAAAACGTAAAAAAACTCGATATAAACATTTACATTTTGAGGAATTGGCACATATAATGTGTTCTTACTTCGAAACAAGATATAAAAAAAGACGTACATTTATTTTTTAATCAATATCACGCTCCCATATTTCAATTTCATGCGAGATGACAAATTCTCTTAATATTTCACCGACCCCGCATCCTAAAACCCCTCCCCCCACGCAATTACGGACTTCTTATCATCGATTCCACCATCATCATCATCAGCATCATCGTAATCGCCGTGGCCCACGACTCGACGGCACAGCCACCCACCGAGACTGCATACATTTTATCTTATCTCGCCAAAGCCTCATAATCCACAGTTTTATCAATTCATCTGCCCCCTCCGGAGAGAGAGATAAATTTTATTAAGCGCCAGATCAACCCTATCTATCCCGATATAAATTTATACATCCCCTAGCGCCCTTCTGGCTCTCCAGTTTTACGGCGTCTTGAACTTTTTCCGTTAATATGATGGAGAACTTATTTAATTCCGGCCGGAGACTGAAAAATAACAGCCGCTATGACTTAATTGAATTAATAAGGGACCGGGAATTATACCTGGTGAAAAGTTTAACGAGTTCTTTGAATAATGGACTTATGGAATAGTGGTTTATTTCGAGAATTTATTTGCGGGAAGTAATTTTGGAGCTGGCGTTAATTACTTTGAGGGAAATGAGTGAGAAAAAGTGAAATGAATACTTGGGCAGGAGCTGAAGGGGTGGAATACTTACATACATTTTTTTCTGAATCTTTATAGTATTTTAGACCGATCAAAATAACTCATTTAGAGGGAAAAAAAGGAAATTGTTACTTCGACTTTCATAAGTGTAAATGGTAAAGGGGCTTATAATAAAGGAAAAAAAATAATAATAAATAAATGCGTCAGCAGGGGCGGCGGAGGGTTGATTTGGGGGGTTGAAAAGTTATGAAAAATTGTATCATTGGGATTTCTGGCGAAAGTTGACGTCAAACAAAAAAGTATCTAATACAAAAGTTGTATATCATGCAAAAATCTACAACTTTTGTAGAGGTTATTTTTTAACATAACCTCAAAATTTCCGCGAAAAATGCAAAAACAGTTTTTTTTTCAGAATTTTCGTTTTTTATTTCTCATTTCCGCAAAAATAATTTAATTTTGACGAAATTTGGTGACAGTATACCTTCCTCTGTCTTAAATAACTTCAAGTTTTTTTGCGATAAAAAAATTAAGAAGTTTCTGAGATATTAATTTTTTTCGGCTTGAAACACTTTTTTTTTCAAAGAAAATTTCTTCTTAAAAAAATCAAAATTTTTTTCGTTTTGACATACTTTCTGGTGAAATAAAAAAAATTGTAATTACAGTTCAAAAACATGCTCAAAAATGATAAAAATTAAAAAATGACTTACATCAATGAATTTTTCAGTAACTGTTGATAATTTGTTTAAATTTAAAAAAAAAATTAAAAACTGATTACACCATTCAATTGTACGGAAAAAATACAAAAAGCTCTCATTGTTTGACCCAAAACTATTTTTGTACAGTATTGCTATAAACATAAGTCGAATAGTGAATAAATAAAATAAATAATAGTTTTTTTTCGGTAGGATCGATTAGTGTACTTATTTTTTTTTTAAAGTTTGCTGAATTCATAAATATACAGTGTGTCCAAGATAAGGATGGGATAGCGTTAGGACCTAGGAAACGGTAAGAGATACGGGGTGGCTCAGATTAGAAAAAAGTTGTGTTTTTTTATACCTAACAATATGCTGTTTAGAAAGTTTTAAAATTCCTGGTAGTTCCGGATATATCCGAAAAAACCCGAAATTTTGCAAAATTGTTTAATTTTTTGTGGCTTTATTTGAAAACGAATTTTAAAATAAATTACATATTTACAATGCCACTTTTTTCGCTCTATACAATGGCGTCAACATTTTTTGCAATCCGACGTTTCGTCTTCGAGGGGCCATCATCGGGTTAATTTTTTTAAATAAGTCCATGCTATTTTTATGACACAATCTAGTCATTTTTAATTCTGAATTAGACGATATTACTATTATAATTGCTTAAAAAGTTTTTAGCTTGTTTTAGCTATAATTTAAAATTTTTCCTGAGTACGGCTCCGAACGCTTTCAAAATATCTATTGGATGAAGTCATAATAGTATAAAAGTCAATACCGCACAAAATATTCAACAATTACTGTTAGCAATACTAATTAGAAATAATAAAATATATCATAAATTCGTATTATTTTTTTATTAGGTATACCTTTTTACATTATGGTTAAAAAAAATGTTGGACATTTTGTGCTGTATTGACTTATTCTCTCCCCTCTCTCTCTCTCTCCTCCAATAGACACAGGTATTTTGAAAGCGTTCAGAGCCGTACTCAGGAAAAATTTTAAAATTAATGATAGCTAAAAACGTTTTTAAGCGATTACAATAGTGATATCATCTAATACAGAATTAAAAATGACTAGATTTTGTCATAAAAAGCGATATATTTAAAAAAATTAATCTGATGATGGCCCCTCGAAGACGAAACGTCGGATTGCAAAAATGTTGACGCCATTGCATAGAGCGAAAAAAGTGGCAATGTAAATATGCAATTTATTTAAAATTCGTTTTCAAATAAAGCCAGAAAAAAAATAAAACGATTTTACAAAATTTCGGGTTTTCGGATTTCGTGTCAACATTAACTTTGCAGTTAATACTTTGTATTGCTAAAATCTCAAATCATCCAGAGATAATTTCTCATTTGTGCATTTGTAATTCGACTTGTCTCGAGATCTTTATAGCAATACAGTACAATAAAGTTTTGGGTCAAGCAATGAGACAGCTTTTTTTATTTTTTCCGTAGGATTGAATGGTGTAATCAATTTTTTAATGTTTTTTAATTTAAACAAATTATAAACAATTCACTGTTGCAAATCATTTTTTAACTTTTTGCATTTTTGAGCATGTTTTTGAAATGTTATTACAGATTTTTTTATTTCACCAAAAAGTATATGTCAAAACGAAAAAAATGGTTACCGGCAGAACTCTGTACGATGATTTTTTTAAGTAGAATTTTTCTTTGGAAAAAAAGTGTTTCAGGCCGAAAAAAATGAATATCTCAGAAACTACTTGATTTTTTTCTCTAAAAAAATTTGAGTTTATTTAAGACAGAGAAAGGTATACTTTCACCAAGTTTCGTCAAAATTAAATTATTTTTGCCGAAATAAGAAATAAAAAACGAAAAATCAGAAAAAAAAACAGCTTTTCGCATTTTTCTCGGAAATTTTGAGGTTATGTAAAAAAGTGACCTCTACAGAAGTTGTAGATTTTTGCATGATATACAAATTTTGTACTGGATACTTTTTTGTTTGATGTCAACTTTCGCCAGAAATTCCAATGATACAATTTTTCATAACTTTTCAACCCCCCAAAGCAACCCTCCGCCAACCCTGCTCACGCATTTATTTTTTTAGGTTTATTATAAGCCCTTTTGCTATTTCCACTTATAAAAGACCAGGTACAATTTTTTTTTCTCCAAGTGTAATTTGGTTGGACTAATTTGTACATTTTTTGTTTAATTCTGAAAAGAGGGAAATTTTGAAAACATGAATTATTTTACAAATATTGAAACGAATTACCCTACACCGAAATAATTCTGTGAGTGAATCCATAATGCACGGCATTTACAGCGTATGCTTTTACAAACTTTCGGCAGTCAAAAGACCTTCATGCATGCCTCTCATAATCAACATTTCGGCTGAAAGCGGTGTTTTATTTGCAGGAATCCGGGGCAGGAGCACGTCGCCCTACCGATCCGCCTCCAGGGGCACCGTGAACATGGGCTTCAGCGGCAACTCCGGATTTTCGGAGAGCGGGTCTCGTCGGGCCAGCAGCTCCGTCAGCCAGGTAAATAATGTCTCTGGGCGATGTTACAATAAAAATGTGAGGAAATACCTTGTGAAATATGCCGTCCCGGACGAGCAAAGGTGCCAACACGTGCTTATGATTCTAAATGTCTGTCGATTTATTATTATTTTGAAATGGTATTGATGAGGCGGCTTACAAATTCGTGCTGATATTAAGGTCGTTTCTAGAAAAGCATAAAAAATACCCTGTATTGTCTGTTTACTACCAGAAAAGCTACATTATTCTCATAGGCCAGTAAATATAGAGTTGGATGCGACTTTCTGTTTCGGCAAGCTGAATTTATCACTATACAGGGTAGGAAAGTAAAGATGGTCTATCTGACGTTACGTGAGAGCGATAAAGTAAGCCATAGAAATCCGTGCGATAGAGAAAGATGGCTATAACGAAGGCGTCTAATAGTCACCGCCCGTTTCGCCCTTCCACAAATAAGATCCACTTCTTATTTGTGGAAGGGCGAAATGGGCGTTGACTATTAGACGCCTTCATTATAGCCATTCTTGTCTATCGCATGGATTTCTATGGCTTACTTTATCGCTCTCACGTAACTTCTGATAGACCATCGGTACTTTCCTACACTGTAGATGCTAAATATTATCTACAATAACATATTAGTTTCTTCTGTCATAAAAATGGGGGGAAGATTGTTTACAGGGTGGTTAATTAAATAATTTTTACGTAAATTCACGTTTTTCGTTTATAACTTTTTTCCGTTCATTTCCACGAGAAAACAGTAAAGTACTTTTTTTTCGTATTCAAAAGACCTACAAAACTAGCCATCGAGCGTCAAAAAATATTGATTATATCAAAAGTTATAAACAGAAGAAGTTTATTTGTGACTTTTGCATTAAACATTTATAAACTGCGTTATTATTACCAGAACGTTTTGGCGCCGCATCCTCTCATTCCTCATCGCTGTCTAATAACTCACACGAAATCTGGAATCGGTAAGTTGAATAGTTTACAAGTTATAGCCTTATAAACAAATTAACTAATTATTAGTCTGGACGATCCCGAGCATCTTCCACAATCGCACTGATTTTTTTCATGGTAGATTTCATAATAATACATT